TGTTTTGTAACAAGCTCAGAGACCCCCATGTGTCAGTATCCATTATTCCTTTCCCATATTACTTCACACATTTTTATTGGTAAAGGGTGGAACTTGAAACCATCTCCAAAGGATGAATTCTTAGGTCTTTCTTGGATTGACCTGGCATGCCTTGAAAAGAACATTACTTCCAATTGATCAGCATAGTCATGAAAAAGCAATAAAAATCTTGCATGATGCACGAACGGTAATGCCTCAAGCAATTTTAGAACTCCACAGCTGCACCCAGAGCGTTTGTGTATCTGTGTGTGTTTGTATACGTGTGCATTTGAATGTGTGTGGGAGGGAGTGGCTTTAGTAGATGGTGGAGATACGCTGCATGCACAGATATATACCAGAATAACATTGCTTTTCCACATTATAAAGGTATTTTTCCTTTAATGCATAAATATATGCAACAAATCTGACATTAATAACATATTCTAGAAGAGATCATATTTGCAAACTAAAGGGATTTTCTTTTTGTAAATTTAACAATGCCAGCATTATTGGATCTAGATGTTTGATAGCCTTCTTGTGCTTGAAGGAGCATCCCAGGAAAGGGAACTATACCGTAGGTACGGTCATTTTTTCCCCCAGTGAGATCAGGAAACAATAAAGTTGACATCAGGATGTGACAGGGCTGGGATTAGGGTGAGGTCAAGTTGTGCAAGTGTAGGGTTAGAGCCTTTCTTTATTTAACATTTGGATATTTTGTTCATGATGTATTGTTTTCATGAAGTTTGATTTTTTTTAGAATATTGCATTAAACATATCTATCTTTAATTCTAAGTTTTGGGAAGACCCATTAATTTTGCTTCTGAGACACTTGCCTTACCTTTGTCCTGGTCCTATTGGTTGTTTCCAATTTGCAAGTTCAAGTGGCCGTTGCAGCACTATGATGCCGTCACAACTGGAATCTGAGCACCAAAATCTGAATCAAGTCCTCCTCCACTCTGCATATGGGATAGCAGCAGCAACCGTAGAAGAATACAAAGGTATCCCATGAGATCCAATGAACTGGAGTCCTGCAGACTGGGAAGAGAAGAGCACCTCTATGGCTATGATTAACCAGGCAATTTGTTTTTCTTCCAGGTGGCATGCAGCTGTGTGAAAAATATGGTATCTATTAGGTCGATTAAATTTGCTAATAATGTTGAGAATTTTGCATTTATGTTCATGAGGGATATTGATCTATATATTTTTTTCATGTTATACTCTTATCAGGTTTAGTTTCAGGATTATACTGGTCTCATAACATGATTTGGCAATTGTTTCCTCCTTTCTATTATGAAAGAGTTTGTGTAAGATATTTATTATTTCTTCTTTATGTAGTTGGTAGAATTTATGACAGAAGACACCTGTGGCTAACATTTTCTTTGTGGAAGAAATTTGAATTGCAAAATAAATTGCTTAAATAGATATCCTACAATTCCAGTTTTCTGTTTCTTCTTGTGTCAGTTGGTAACATGTTTTTAAAACAATTTGCCCATTTTTTTTTTTTTTTAAAGATTTTATTTATTTTTTAGAGAGCGAGCGAGAGAGAAACAGCATGAGAGGGGAGAGGGTCAGAGGGAGAAGCAGGCTCCCCGCTGAGCCGGGAGCCCGATGTGGGACTCGATCCCAGGACCCTGGGATCATGACCTGAGCTGAAGGCAGACGCTTAACCATCTGAGCCACCCAGGCGCCCCCAATTTGCCCATTTTATCTAAGATGTTAAATGTATTGACATGAAGTTATTGATAATATTCCTTTATCATCTTTCCAATATATTTAAGATCTGTAGTGATGCCTCTCTTTCATTCTGGATATTGGTAAAATACATTTTCTCTCCTTTTGTTTTTATCAGTATTGCTTTATCAGTATCAATTTTATTAATCTTTTTTTTTAAAAAAACAATCTTTTTCTTTGTCATTTTCCTATTTCTGTTTTCTGTTTCATTGATTTCTACTTTTACATTTTTCTTTCTTTTTTCTATACCTATTTCAGGTTTAGTTTTCTCTTTTTCTATTTTCTCTGAAGGTTTGGATCATTGACACTAGACTTTTTTTTTGTATAGATTAAAATACATAAATATTTAAATTAAAGCTATACATTTCTTTCTATGCATTACTCTAGCTGCATTTCATGAATTTTGATACAAGGTGGTTTTTTACCATTCAGTTTGAATTTACTTATAATTTCTAAAATTTTATTTTATTATGTTAGTCACTTTACAAGTACATCATTAGTTTTTGATGTAGTGTTCCATGATTCATTGTTTGCGTATAACACCCAGTGCTCCATGCAATACATGCCCTCCTTAACACCCATCACCGGGCTAACCCATCCCTCCACCCCCCTTCCCTCTAAAACTCTCAGTTTGTTTCTCGGAGTCCATAGTCTCTCATGGTTCATTTCCCCCTCCAATTCCTGCCCCCTTCATTTTTCCCTTCCTTCTCCTAATGTCCTCCATGCTATTCCTATGTTCCACAAATAAGTGAAACCATATGATAATTGACTTTCTCTGCTTGACTTATTTCACAGCATAATCTCCTCTAGTCCCATCCGTGTTGATGTGATAGTTGCGTATTCATCCTTTCTGATGGCTGAGTAATATTCCATTGTATATATGGACCACATCTTCTTATTTTTTTTTTTAAGATTTTTATTTATTTATTTGAGAGAGAGAGAGAGAGCATGAGAGGGGGAGGGTCAGAGGGAGAAGCAGACTCCCTGCTGAGCAGGGAGCCCAATGCAGGACTCGATCCCGGGACTCCAGGATCATGACCTGAGCCGAAGGCAGTCACTCAACCAACTGAGCCACCCAGGCACCCGTGGACCACATCTTCTTTATCCATTCGTCTGTTGAAGGGCATCTCGGCTCTTTGCATGGTTTGGCTATTATGGACTTTGCTGCTATGAACATTGGGGTGCATATGGCCCTTCTTTTCACTGCATCTGTGTCTTTGGGGTAAATACCCAGTAGTGCAATTGCTGGATCATAGGGTAGCTCTATTTTTAATTTTTTGAGGAACCGCCACACTGTTTTCCAAAGTGGCTGTACCAACTTGAATTCCCACCAACAGTGTAAAAGGGTTCCCCTTTCTCCACAACCTCTCCAACATTTGTTGTTTCTTGCCTTGTAAATTTTTGCCATTCTAACTGGTGTAAGGTGGTATCTCAGTGTGATTTTGATTTGAGTTTCCCTGATGGCTAATGATGATGAACATTTTTTTCATGTGTCTGTTAGCCATTTGTATGTCTTCTTTTGAGAAGTGTCTGTTCATGTCTTCTGCCCATTTATTGACTTGATTATTTGGTTTTTGCCCTGTTGATTTCTTATTTGATCTATTGGTTAACTGGAAGTATGTTGCTTCATTTCCAAATATCCAGAGATAACATTTTTCATATTCAAAATAACTCTGTTTTGGTCTAAGAACATACTCTGTATGATTTCAGTCCTTTAAAATTTATTGGGTTTTGTTGTTAGCCAACATATGGATTATCTTGATGAGTTTCTCATGTGTACTTGAAATGAATGTGTGTGTAGTATTCTACGAATATCAATTAAAACAAGTTTCTTGATAATTTTGTTTAAATTTTCATATTCTTACCATTTTTTTCCTACTTGTTCTATCAATTACTGAGATAAAATGTTAAATTCTTAAATTATGATTGTGAATTGGTCTATTTCTCCCTTCAGGTGTAGCACTTTTTTAAATTTCATGTATTTTGAAGCTCTGTTATTAGATGTGCACATAGGTAAGATTATTTTATCTTCTTGGTGAATTGACAATAATTATTATGAAGCATCCCTTTTAGTCTCTAGTAATACTGTTAATCTGATAATAACATCACCCCATATTTCTTAGGCTTAGGGTTCATTTGATATCTTTTTTCCTCCTTTTACTTTCTCATCCTATCTTTATATTTTAAATACGTCTTATGTAAACTAAGAGAGTTGGATTTTGTTTTTTATCCATTCTGGTCATATCCATTCTGGTCATTCATGCCTATTAATTGGAGAGTTTGTTCCATTTATATTTAATATAATTATTTATAGGATTGTGTCTATGACAGTTTTTAAAAAGATTTTATTTTTAAAGTAATCTCTACATCCAATGTGGGGCTCAAACTCACAGCCCCAAAATCAAGAGTCACATGCTCCACCAACATGGTCCAGCCAGGGACCCCTATTGTAATTTTTTGGTACCATCTATTTTCATTCCTTTGTCTCTTGTTTACTGGATTTGGGTTTTGTTTGTTTGTTTTTGCTTGTGTGTGGGGGTTTTTTTGTATTTCATTTTATACACTAAATTGACTCTTTACCCATAACATTTTTGGAGTATTTCATCAAGGATAAGAATACACAGCCTTTATTAACACAGTCTACCTTAAATTAGTATTATGTCACTTCACCAACAATGTGGAAAAACTTCCTATTATGTAATCCTCATCTTTTTCCATCATGACACAGAAGATCAGCACAAGACATAGGAGAGGTATTTAAGAATTCATATGGTGAAGAACCTCTATGAATAGAATCAAATTGGAAAGTATTTGAAAAATACCTTAATATGTAATGTATAAAAGATATTCCATACTAGAGAGAAATATAATGAGGATAATCAATGTGAGAAAAACTTCAGCCAGATTTCAAATTTAAATGTGCACAAAAGAACTCATACTGAAGAGAAAAGCTATGAATTCAGTGGATGTAAGAAGTAGTAATTAATCATTCATCTGTTAAAACACACACAGGATCACACACTGACACAAACCCTATGAATCTAAGGACAGTAGAGAGCCCTTCAGCTGTTCTTTGTATTGTAGGACTCACATGAAAATACACTTTGGAAAATAATATGAAAACTATGGGAAAGCCATTATTCATTCTTCATCCATTGCTGTACATTTAAAACTCACGGTGGAGATAAGCCTTATTTCATATAATGTGAAAAATGTGAAAAAAAAACCCTTCCATTTTTTTCATCTCTTAGAAAAATGTGGAAAATCTCACTGAAGAGAAATACTATGAACATAAGAAATGTGGAACAATCTTCAATTGTCCCTCATCCTTTCGGCGTGTGTGAGAACTCATATTGAAAATATCTCCTTTTGACTGTAGAAGGGTATGAAAAAGCCTTTATTTCTTCTACATCCTTTATTGTACATGTAAGATTCACATTGAGGTGAAGCCTTTCAAATATAAGAAATATAGGAAAACCTTCACTTATTCCTGAAAGCTTACTCTACAAGTGAGGAAACATATCAAAAAGGATCTCTATACATATAAATGTGGGAAAGGCTACAGTTTCCCCTCTCCCTTTAGTAACCATAAGCACTGGAGACAGGCCTTATAATTGTAAACAATGTGACAAATCCTTTCACTTTTCATATTTTACTGTACATGTGATCATGCACACTGGAAGAGAAACACTGTGGATATATGAAATGCAGTAACTTCTGCTTTCTCATCTCTTAGGTAATGAGAACTCATACTAGAGAGAAGTCATATTGATATCTGGAGTGTAAGAAAGTCTTAACTTGTATCTAATTCCTTCAAAGGCTTGTGAAAATTCACATTGGAGAGAAAGCATACAAGTGTAAGAAATGTGGGAAAATGTATTTCCTAACACTTCAGTGCTTATTTGATAACATACACACTGAAGAGGAACCATATAAATTTAAAGAATGTGGAAAAGCTTTCACATCTTTCTCAATCTTTTGTCAGGTAGTGAGAACTCATACTGTGATATAGGCCTGTGAGGAATGTGGAAAATCCTTTAGTTTACCTTCATGCTTCAAAGACATGGGAAAAGTCACATTGGAGAGAAACCCAATGAATGTAATCAATGTGGGAAAGCCTTCAGGTGCATCGAATCTTTTATTATGCATAAGGAAATTCACACTGGAGGAGAAATCTTTAAAATGTTGTAAATATGGAATTGCTTTATCAGTGTCTCATCTTGGAAGTGATTCCTAGCTCATAATTTCTACTTTGTATTTTCTTTTTTTTTTTTAAAGATTTTATTTATTTATTTGACAGAAAGAGACACAGCGAGAGCAGGAACACAAGCAGGGGGAGTGGGAGAGGGAGAAGCAGGCTTCCCGCCGAGCAGGGAGCCTGATGTGGGACTCGATCCCAGGACCCTGGGATCATGACCTGAGCCGAAGGCAGACGCTTAACGACTGAGCCACCTAGGCGCCCCTCTACTTTGTATTTTCTAATATAAGCCTTTATGATATAACCGTTGCTCCCAATGTCCTTATAGCTGTATCATACAATTCTGATAGTTATTATCATTATGGTTCATTAATATGTATTGTATCATTTCCGTTGTGAAGTCTCCTTAGACTTAAGTAAAGTGTTTTTTAGTATATAAGTGTATTTGAAATTAGTTTTGTTACTGTTTCTAATTAATTCCCATTCCCATATGTAATGCATGTGGTCACTGTGATATTGACTTTGGTACTTGTTGGGATAAGTTATTGATCTTTACTATTGAGAGATCTGCAGCATTTTTATAGCTAATGTAGTATACAACCAGTTGTTTTGGTCAATAAGTAGTCGATGTAAGTAAAAAATGTGCAAAAAGGATGGTTTCATTAGACTTGGTAATTTCATCTTTTGTGCTTTGGTCCTCCAAGTTGGACACAATACTTCAAGTTGAAGAGAGAGCCCTTGCAACCATGAGAGTGAAAGCTAGGTGTAATGATGATTGTGCTGGATTGTGTTAAATGAGACTTAGAACCACATTTTCCAGACTCTTCTCTGCTATACGGTTGGACAAGAGGAACTTGCATGAGATTTGGAATGCAAAATGAAGAAGAAGCCATTAACCTCAAAAGGATGTGGAAGTAGCAGATTGACAGATCTAAAACTATCCAGGAGTTCCAAACTTCAAGCTTGACTTCCTAACTATTGGCTTTGTTGAACATCAGCCCTGAGCCAATCACTAAGCACATAACTTCAATTCCCTCAGAGGTGGCAGCTTCCACAAACATCTCCATGAGCTCACCCTTCATAGTCCTACTTTGGTGGCTAGATGTGCACAGCTGTTTGAATTTCCTACGCAGTAAAACCTGCCAATTCTCACTGCTGTTTCAGGTTATCATGATTAGAGACTTTTTCCAATCCTCTGATTCCTTCTTCTGTGAAAAGTGTAATTTCTGTAGTGAGCACATAGTTCAAAAACAATATAAACAAATGAGTAACTTTGTTCCCCTTTTGCATTGTTAAGTGGCTACTCGATCCCTGTACTGCCTGTTTCTGAACTCTTGAGAAATAAACACCTTGCTAATTTGTGGGTCATGTGAGAATTTTATGTCACTCAAAACTGAATAAAATCCTAAATGATAAACATGTATGTGTTAAGTTAAAAACAATCAATCAATGTAATTCATCATATTAACAACATAAAGGAGAACATTTATGTGATCACCTCAATGCATAGGAAGTCTTTGAAAAATTCAGAATGCACTTTGTGAAAATTTTCAACACTCTAGAGGATGGGAACATCCTCACTGTGGTAAAGAATATCTATAAGAACCCTACTACTAACATTATACTTAATGGTGAAATATTGAATGCTTCCCCATAATACTAGAGACAATGCCAGAAAGTTATTACTGTTCTGTTCAACATTATAAAGAAGGGTCTAGTCAATGTAAAAATGCAGGACAAATAAATAAAAGACACAGATACTTAAAATATTTTTCTTTATTTACAGATGACATAATTGCATATGTTGAAAATCCTAAAGACCTACCCGGTACTAATGAGTAGATTTAGCAGGGTTGAGGATATAAGGTTGATTTGTAAAAATCAATTATATTTCCATGTAACTGCAACAAATGGGGGGAAAAAGTTTAAAAACTACCATTTGCAATAGCATCAAAAAATAAATAGGAATAGATTTAACCAAAGATGTGCAAGACTTCTATACTGAAAATTATAAAACATTGCAAAGAGAAGTTGAGAAGATTTAAATAAATGAAGAAATATGCCACGTTCATGGATAGGAAGACTCAAAATTATTAAGATGTCCATTACTACCAAATTGATCTCTATAGAGATGCAATCCCAATCAAAATCCAACCAGATTTTTTTGTAGAAATTGGCGAGTGACAAGTAAACATACATATTTGCAAGACATCTTATATAGTTGCAGTAATCAAGATGGTGAAGTATTGGCAAAAGGATCAATAAACTAAAGATCGAATTGACTGTAAGGACATGGAAATGCACCACCCAGATTCCCCTCCAATAAAGGACTTGTTTCTGGGAGTGTCAGGAGAGCTATCAGTGGCAATCCTTCAGCTGTCACACCCATCCCAGTGTAAGCCATGTGCAACGACTGATCAAGGTGGAAATATAAAGACCTGGCTGTTCCAATCTAACACAGCACAACTCTAAAGGGCCATTTTAACTCCAGAGCTCCCCACTTCTCTGTCTACTGAATCCTGCCTCCATCACTTCATTTCTACAGGTATCAATCCTAAATAACTCCTTAGCAAACACCCTACACTTTAAGTCTATCTCAGTGTCTGCTTCCTAGAGATCCCAACTTAGTAACACAGCTCCTGTCTTGCTATTGGACCATCACAGAGACTGAACCCCTAACTATGGAATACTACGTGAACATGTGATCTGAGATGCCTAAAACTTACTAGATATTAGCTGATTCATCAAACCATAAAATTGGTTTCATGTGTAGCAGTTCTCCATCTTCAAGTGGAAGTAATAATACAAGATCATACATGATAAGGTCTAGAGAATATAAATAGGTTTCATGAGTGGATGGTTTAGACTGGCAGTGCTCCTACTGTTCCTGCATTTACCACCTCTCTTTCAACCTACATCTATGGCCTCAGTGGGAGTGCCCTGTGATCAAATTACTGAAGATGGGAAATTTGAGCCTAACCTAGAAATATTTCCACACAGAAATCTGGCACAAGTCGTAAGAAGACGCCTAGAGAATTGCATCCTGCAGGACTGGCCTAGAAAGGAAGGGAACTCCTCCTGATGGGAGAGAATTTCGAATGGTACACCTGATTGTTCACTTTTCCTGGAAAGAGGATGGCCAGAGGTATAGATTTGCATTTATATTAGTTTTCTAGGGCTGCCATGCCCAAAGTACCACAAACTGGGTGGCTTAAATAATGGAAATTTATCATCTCACAGTTCTGGAAGCTAGAGGTCTGAAATCAAGATGTTAGCAGAGTTGGTTCCTTGTGAAGGCTGGGGGGAAGAATCTGTTCCAGGTCTCTTTCCTGGGCTTGTAGGTGGCATTCGTCTCCCTGTGTCTCTTCACATAGTCTTCATACCCTGTGTGCCTGTGTCCAAATTTCCCCTTTTTATGAGGACATCAGCCATATTGGATTAGGGCCCATCCTAATGACCTCAGTTTAACTTGATTACCTTTGTATTCTGAGATACAGAGCGGGGTTAGGATGTCAGCACATCTTTTTTAGGGAAGACACAACTCAACTCATAACAGCATTTATTCATGAGCAGTAGCTAATGATTTGACCTATATGTTATGGAAGAGAAAGGAATAAGAGTAGAAGGTTGATAACAGGAAAGTCTGGGTATCACCTCTTGCTCTGAGCTTCTTTCAAGGTGTTAATGTAATACTGTATTTCCCTCATTACATAACCCTCTTATTCTTTCCTTTAGCCATGGCCTACAATTATTTGTTCTCTCCATTTAATTTCAAACTTTTCCATACTTGGAAGGCACATTAAGTTTGGCCACTGTGCTGGTCTAGCTCGCAGGCAACAATGCTAGTCTGGCAAGTGCTCCCCACTCAGTCTACTCCTGTTCACGTAGAATAAGGTTAAAGAAGCGCAGGATGAGGGGGCTAATGTTTACCACCAGGCAATATGGCTGCATTCACTGTTAACCCCAATTTTGCCAGATGGGATGACGGCACATCCTGGCCCATCAGGCCCTTAGAAATTCTGACATAAGGTTAAAAACATAGTTACAGTTTCTTGCTTAGGAATCATCCCTGATTCCAGACCTTGTAGTTGCAGCCCTGGTCCTATAATCACTGCATCAAGTAGGGGAAGAGAAGGTGATACGGGGAAGAAAGTACACCAGCAATTTCCCCCACTCCCTCTTGCCCAGACCCACCAGAGAAACAAGAGAAATCTATCCAGTGGGGACACTCTTTTAGCCTTCCTCTTTTTGTGAGCACATACTTGTGAAGGCGTGTAAGCCAGGCCTTCCTGCTTTTATCACCCCTTCTCTTAGACAACCAGTGTTTTAATTACCTATTCCAATTTTCTATCAAAATACTGCTCTTAGGACAATATCTCTCTCCCCACTGGTGCACATTATGGGCTATAAAGTGATTTCATTGGTCTGAAGAAATGACGGTCAGCTGTCTCAACTGGTGTAGCATCTTCTGTTCCAGTTCTTTCATAACACTTTGATCATTTGCATCTACCACCAGGTAAGTCAAGCCTAGTTCAGAGTCCATGCCTACTCCTGTCAGCACCCATTTGTAGCCCCCTGGAGCTACCAGTATCAGCTTGACTTGCCAGTTATGTTCAAGGCTTTCCCACCAGAGAATCTGCCATATAGCCGCCTGTAGTCTCTGTGTCTTTTGTTGGCTGGTAGAACAGTTTTTTTAAAAAGAGTTATTTATTTATTTGAGAGAGAGACTGAGTGCTGGCGTAGGGAGGCAGAGGGAGAGAGAGAATCCTGAAGCAGACTCCTTGCAGAGCGCAGAGCCCAACGTGGGGCTCAATCTCAGGATCCTGAGATCATGACCTGAACCAAAATTAAGAGTCTGACGCTCAACTGACTGAGCCACCCAGGCACCCCAGTTATACCATTTTTTATTGGCATTTTGTGCCTCATTGGGTGCAAGAGGAATATGTCCAAAATCAGCCCATCTCTAAACTGTCCCGATGTTCGTTTATTTCATGGACTTAGGTGACCACCTTTCATCAGGGTGGTAGCCTTCCAAACAGGATATTGTCCATTCACCTTGGAACTGTCATCCATAAACCAAGCAGTCCTTTGTTAAGTCAATCGAGGGCTGCCCATGTGACAAGAGAATCCAGCAAGTCCTTATTCAATTCCAAAGCCAGTCCTAGGGGAAAAGAGGCTCCTACTTGTGAATATTTCCTTGCACTCCCCAGGCAACACAATCCTAAGTAAACCATTTCCATTTTATTATGCAACTTTTTTGGGCATTGCCATCCTCATTAGAGCATTTCACCAATATCACTCTACTCGTTATGGGTATTTCAGCTTTCAAGATCATTTTATGTCCTTCAATCACCAGGATAGCTTCAATTAACATCTGATAACAAAGTCGTAAATACCCTTCAAATGGAAATTCTCTTGCCCAAAGTCCCAGTAGTCATTTCAGGGAAGCACTCACAGGCTTTTGTCCTAAGTCCCAGTCTAGGCTCCACGCAGGGCTCTCAACATAGAGAATTTGTCCCTACCGGCCCTCTAGCTTCCATTCCACGCTCCGTGGCTCACTCAGGCAATCTTACTGGTTCTCATTTAGTATGTCCAATTAACCTTACCTGAAGGACTGATTTCCATGTCTTCTGTTTCACAATACTAAGGGAGATGTTCCCCAGTCAGGTACAATGTCTGTTCCCCAAATATAATCAGTTAAAAAAGACACAACCACTTCACATAAAGCTTATTTAAGCATACCAGTTCCCCTACAAAATTTTACCATAATTCTATCAACTCATATGTTCCTAACTATAGTCTCTATTAGGATATTATCCACAGGTTTTGATTTTACAATACTAGGTAGGGAAGAGTTCCCCAACCATACAGAATATCCATTCTCATATAAAACATTCAGTAAAGTTGACAGACTTCTTTACATAATACCTGCTTAAACATTCTGTCTTTCATAATCCTATCAACCGTTACAGTTTTAGGTAATCTCAACCTAATTATAGTGCAAATCAGTGGGCTTTGGTATCACATTATGTGGGACTCCCATATTGAGGAATCCTGGAAACTTCTCTTCCCCACCCCTTGGCCATTTTAACCACTCTTGTGCAAAAGGCTTTGAGTCCCCAGCAAGAGGTCAAGCCATGGGACGCTGGCCCTTTTGTCAATTTTTGTCTTGGTTAATCTGCCTAACCACAGTCCCCAAGCTATTGCTGGTTAGGTTTCTCATGTAATCTTTATCTTCTGACTTTTTACCTTTCTCCAAACAGGGTTAAATAGAGTGGGACTTGTTTGGGGATCCTTTAATGTTTGGGGGCCAATGAGGGGGTCCCTTTGGACTGCCCAACCTTAGGTAGTGCTGTATTAAAACCTTGTTTAACCCCATCAATGTCTGTTTTATTTATCCCATTTTTAAGTAATCATCTAAAGATTTCCACCCTGTTGAGACAAGTCCTGTTGCTCTCCCTTTTTCACCCCTC